TTCTCCTTTTTTTTCTCCTTTTTTCTTCTCTTCTTTATCGTGATATTACTTTGGATGATGGTGGTAGGCAAAGATATTTATTATATTTCGAAAAATCGTTTGAAAAGTGAAGCTGAAAGTTTTTAGGTTAGATTTACCGTTTAATCCATTAAAAGCTAACTTGGTAATGTTTTATTTGCTATTTTTCTTTTTTTGATTGATTTGCGTTCAACTCTCTTTTGCAGTTTTGATTTTGGGATTTACTTGATACTTTTATCGCTATTTCTCTTTCTATGTTAATTATTAGAAGTTAGAATATTTGATTATTATAGTTAAGATTTATCACATTTTCTAAATTAATATATGATTTTTAGATAAGATTTTTTAATGTATTATTCCATCTTTTGTTTAGATTTTCGAGTTTGTGAACAAATAATACGTAATATGGAGAAATGAATAATATAAATCGAAGATTGTGGAAGTTTTACCAGAAATATTGTATGGAATGTTTGAATCACTACAGTGTTAATATTTGAGCATTACGAAGATGTAAAATCTACCTATCATGGAATTTTTATGAGAGATGCAAGTATTTGATTGTCATGTATACTAGAGAATTCGTAAAAATTTCAATTTCAAATTGTCAGTTATAAAGTCAGTTATAAGTTTGTGGAAATATTATTTCGTATCGAAGAAAAAATAGGATAAAACAATTTCACAAATCTTGATTCACTCACTCATTAATATTCTTATTATAATCCTCGAAGATTCTTGTGCTCACTTAGAAAAAAATAACATTTCTTTCGAATTCTTAATTTTTCTTTGAGTTTTTTTGCTCGTCTATTCTTTGAACGATCTTCGTCAATTTCGATTGGTGAAAGAATAAGATCGACGAGCATAAATAATATTTCTGGAATAATAACGAGCTCCGGAAGTTTAATTCTTTTCGCTCGCTAATTGCATCGGTGTAGATCTGGGTCATCTTTCGCCCACACCCGTTTCTTTTTTCTCGTCATCCGATTTTTAAGAGACAAAAGACACTGTCCAGAGAAAACAATTGCGTTTCGAAGCCGATTCTCGACATTCCCCTATCTTTACTTCGATGCTCGATTTCCCATTCTATCTAAGACGTTTTTAATCGGATATATATTGTACTTTTTTATTTAAGATAAAGATCGATTATCCAATAACCATTTCTATATTGCACATATACAATCATATTGGTAGTGTAATCGACAAAGTTCCAGCCTTCGACGATATTCCAGTATATTCCAGTATATTCCAGTCGTTCGAGGAGGCCAAATATACATACATACGTACACGTTTCACAAAGTTTGGAGAGCAGTTACGAGTTCATTAACGGATTAATCGTATCGCTTTTCGTTAGTTTTATCGTTATCTCCTCGAGATCTTGTGTCCTGTTGGCAAATTTAACGATCTCTCTTCGTTTCAGGGGTGCCTTCTCTGTGGTTCGACGATGCGTTCAGAAGAGCACTGGTCACGAATTCGCTGCGAAGATCATAAACACGAAAAAGCTCACCGCCAGAGGTAAGATCGAGAATCGTTCGTTTCGACAATTTTATAAAAATCGAAGGAATATTGATTTTTGAATAAAAAAGTAATTGTAAAACTTGTATCGAAAACGTGTTTGCGAAAGAAAAGATTATCGTGGAAAACTTTTTTTCCTCTTTCATATTTGAATAATTGTTTAGAAGACACAAATATTTCAGAAAGTGAGTTTCATTGTGATACAAAAAACGCTCTGACAAAGTTTTTAATGCTTTGACAGTGGCGATAAAACTACTCAGAAAAAGAAAATGAATGATGTGTATATAATTATATTTTTTCACTCATTTCTTGAAAAAGTAAGTTTAATCATCATAGAATTCTCACGTATCTTTATCCATATTGAATGTGTTAACAGATTCGAATAATCTGAAACGTCGATTGATAATTAAATATCGTGGATAGACATTGTGAACGAGTTATATCTAGGAAAAGTTTCGATACAAGGGCATTAGCATTTAAAACACATAGAAATATTAGATGAAACGACTATGCTTGGTGAGCTCTGACGAGGGCATTATTATGAAAATGGTCTTTGAAAGTTTTGCGCAAAAATAGGAGATGTTTCAAAGTTTCATGATATGGTTTCGTCCCTTTAAACACTTTATTCTTCTTACTTTTAAGTTGATCGTTATTTTAAGTTGATAGTTGCATAAAGGTTTGAAAAAATATTGAAACTTGGAATAATATAATTTATATCCAATATAATAATTTAAAATATTTTTAAATTATATCACAATCCTTATAATAACGTTGAATTCACCTAGGTCTTCATTACCTAGAATTAAAAATATTTTATAACAAAAGAACGACAGTTTTAAACTATATACTAACCTTGAGGATTTGAGATCTATTGTTAAATTTAATCTAAAAGTTATTTTCACATAATTCTCTCTTGATATCCAACCAAATTTCAAAATTCCAAGTATCATCATCCACGTATTAAATTAATACTGAAATGAAAATTAATAATTTTTCACAGGAAATCAACGTGTTATAAAAAATCAAGAAGAAAATGTGTATATATATATATAAAAAAAGAAGCAAGTTTGAAGAGCTAAACCTAACCTAATAGAATTGACTCTAAAAATAGAATCAACACACAGAGAGACAATAGATAGCTCGGGCACAAGAAAGGAAAAGAATATAAGTGGCTAAATAGAAAGATAAAATGAAATAGAGAATGAAATCTCGATCCAAGTTGAAAACGTATCATCACCATTAAAAAATCTCCAACTCCCTTAACTTAAGACAAAAATAATCTCTCCTCTCAGAAATAATTCAACGATCGAAATTTGAAGAATTACATTTAACTAATTTGAACGAAGAACGTTTAATCACTCGACCTCTATCAAAGCTTATACACGAGCTTCGAATTATCCGTTTCAGGGATATATGTATATCTCTAAGCAAATCTCAATCCCGCACCGGAATGGACAACACCGACTTGATGGATTACCGTGGCCAAATCTTCAAATCCTCAAACTCATTTCGCTAATCGCCACCGCCAACACTGCCATCTCCCATTTTAATCCGCATTGTCCAGAAGACATTGTCGTTGTCACGACGATAGAGGAAGGATGGAATCGCGAAAAGAGGTGCGCTTTCTGTGTACCCGAACAGAGGACTTAGCGTCTAAAAACAACGAGCGACGCCGTTGTCAGTCTGCCAAAATTCCATCGCGACCGAACAGTTGCCAGTACCGTACCATCTTCAATTCGGAAAAAAACGTGACTGAAGTTTAGTATCCGGGTTGCAAAATTTTTTTTTCTTTTCCTTTCCCTTCTCGTTTATTCTCGAATCGAAACGAATCTGAAAACGAAAATGATAATGAGGTTATTTCAATGAGATAACTTTGAACGACACAATCGATATTTTTCTTTTTGATACAATTCAATTGTTCGACAATTAACGTAACGTATGAAGAAGTAAGATGAATGAAAAATAAGGCAGAGTTTGGATTACTGTATATTTTTGGGATCGTATGAAATTAGAATTAACAAAAGGAATAATAATGGAATTAACTAGCCAAAGGAAAATCTTTTAAACCATTTCTCAAAAGAAATATCCTCAAAAGGAGAAATTTGGATAAAAAGGTGATTTTAAGTGATCCAAATACTTGGATTCAAAAAACATTCTTCCTCTGTATATATATATTGCATGGGATTCTATTTATCATTTATCATGAGAGAGAAAGAGAGAGAGAGAGAGAGTAGGAAAAAAAGGTAGATAAAATAAAACGTTTCGGAAGCCAGACGAGTTCCCTAATTGAATCAATCAAAATATCGAGCAAAAGCGATTCGATAAACGCCACGATGACCAATTTAATTAGTTAAGAGTCAAGGCTTGCCCTTTTACTCTTAGTCTCGCACAATGTCGAAGATGTCGCACAGATTTTGGAATTGGTGTTAAGATATATCGTTGACAAGTATTCACGGACGATGGCGGAATTTCGGAAGAATTTTTACTCGAAGGGAGGGGGAAACAGAGAGAGGATATTTTCCCTGGGGAAAAATAGAAATATGAAAGATTCCGGTTTCAATGGATGAATTTTTGTCGTGTCACGGATTCCTGATGATACTTTGAATATTTTTAATAAACTTTCTTTCTTTCCTGCGATGTATATATTAATTTTTAAGACCAATAGATGATACAAGCATGGAAGGATCTTTCGTTGAGAAAAGTAAATCGAACGATATTCTAAATTGATAAACGCTTATTAGAATTTCTTTAATTTGAAATTTAAAAAAATGGTAAATATTTTAAGTTTAAATGAAATGATGAAACTTCTCGCTTCTTGTCGCCTTTGTACACGGGTTTTTGTTTAGCAGGCATCGATCGATAAATTTAGTATCAAACGGATCTCCACCCAAGCGAATAGTATGGGCCGCTATATCATAAGTTTTATTGTCCCTATCAATCGATCTTTTGGCAACGATCCTAATATGTGTTTGCGTGACTCATCCCGCGTCTCGTACCGTATATTTCGTACCGTGCTCAACGTGTAAAAGGGGAGCCTGATTCACGAGGAAATATTTACGATGGAATATTAGAGGAATATTTATAAGGAAATGGCAAAACGCGTGTTTCATTAGGATAAAATTAATATAGCGTTGGTTGGTGTAAAGTATAGGATTACGTTACGTATATTCGATATGTAATTCTTCGTGAAATTTTTTTCCTATATATTTTTAATCGCTCTTAATTTATAATCGATGGTAAGAATATTTATATTTTACTTGTATAAATATAAATATATATATATACATATACAAGATATCGATATGTTGCCAATCATTTAAATAAATCTATTCTTCTTTCGACTTTTTTAAAATCAATCCTCCAAAAATATTTCGTAAATAATATATTAACATCTTATAATTCCGATATATTTATATATACGTATCGTATTCGAGAACGAGATAAAAATTTTGTGCCGAGGTGAAATCGTGGCGAGATATATATACTCAGTTTTATAAAGTAAGACTGCGTTCTTGTTATGTAGATTAAAGTTGACGCGTCGTTCACTCGTGTTTTCAACGTCAACAGGTCAACTTTCGGACGAAAGTTGGTTGTTTGCCTTGATGCTGGTCCGCATTGCGTTCGAACGGACGCCTGTAATCGAGCTTCAGAATCCGAGCGACGAGCGGAATTTTCGAGGGTCGCGGTTAGAATGTAGGGGCGACGATCCACTTCGCCAAGGGGAAAACACCAAACAGGAGCAAAAAGTCGTGTCTGTTGGTGTTCGATCCTCGTTCGAGAAATATCTCTTTTTCACTCGTATTTCAATTTTTGCAAGAAATTTATTCATCCAATTCTGTAAATTGTACCTGTAAATTATAGAAAATAATTATTTTTAATATAATTTGACTAATAATTCATCGTATGATTTATATATATATATTAAAACTGATATATCTTCCAAGTTTTTTAAGTCTTACGAAAGTCACTAGAATATAAAGTAATAAATTTTACCAATAACGAATCGTCCGATTCTTTACACACTTTTTTCCCACGATGCACTCCAAGTTTCCACGTAACAGATCACGTGAAATTTCATTTAAAAAGGGGAGACAATAAGTATCAATAAATTTTTCATCGAACATCATCAGAAATCAATTTCACGAACGGGCAGCGAATAAATCCACGTCGAATCGATTGTATCCAATTCTCCACATCCTCTTTCTCTTCGTGTTCCGTCACGACACGAGTCACGTGGCGTTGCTACGTGAGCCCGAAAAAAATATCTGAAAAGGGAATAGGATATCAGGGGTTGAAAGAAAACTTAAAAAAAAAAGGGGGGGGACTTTCTTTCCAGGAATAATCTCGACGAGGAGGAGGAGGAGGAGGAGGAGGAGGGAAATTTCTTTCACTTTCTTTGTCTTGAAAAAGAAGATGGCGGTTTTCAACGTGTATCGACGTCACCGAGATAAGGGGATTGACGTCATAAGCCTCTCCTAAGAGTTCGAGCTCCTCTCCAATGGAATTTTACCGGACGGCGAATTCTTTCTTTCGGATTGGACTTTGCGTATCTCGTGAAATTGCATCTCGGGTAACAGGATTGACGTCAACGAGCCGTACAAATTTAACGCAAATTTTGTAACTTTATATCTTGTATCTCTTCTTCGATCGATTATCCGGATTTCTAGTTCCTCTTGATAGGAATTTTTCCTAATAGAGGATTATTTAATATTCGTGTTTGAATTGATTTGATGTTAGTTTGGTTTTGGAAAAACTCGTGGGAATTAATAATATTTCTTTGCCTTTCTGTGTATTCAATCAAACTACGTGAGAATTGATATTGAAATAAATTATATAATAAGAACGAAGGTTTTTGATAGAAGAGGGAAACAATGGCTCGTTTGAAAAATTTACGATATTCTGTTAATTCTTTCCTTGTTTTTTTTTTTTTTTTCGACGAAGACTAACAAGATTCCTAGAAAATTCCTTTTATACCGCTTCCTAAGCTTATTATATTAGGC